CAGTTTGATGGAAGTGTTTCGGATTGTGTGTGAAAATCCCACACTGTACCCCAGAAGTGCATTAATGTACATAGTTACCATTCAATTAAAAAAAAATGCATGCTATTGATGTGGATTTGACTTCTCTTACCCACTGCTAATTCTAATACTCTGGTCAAAGTGGTAAGCGCTACCTTTTGTGCAGAAGTTCCAACTGCCAGGGGTTTACTCTCAATGACCTAAGTTAATGACATCAGTGCATATCCAGCCTTCCTTTCCCCATTTATCACTGAACTACTACCATCTGTAAACCAAATATTATCTGAGTTGTCTATAGGATGATCCTTTAAATCAGAATGTCCAGAGAAGGTAAGCTTTAACACCTCTCAACAATCATGCCCCCAATTTTCCCCATCAGCTAAGCACATACTCACTGGCAATAAAGTGACAGGATTTGGAGCCTTACAGACCTCAAGTTTGACATTAGGATTTTCTGAGCTTCCTCTACTAAGAATACATATAGCAGCAACTGCTACCTTCCTAAGACCATATGGCCAGCTAGCCACTCCTGGGTCTAAGTTATTTGGTAGATATCCTGCTGGTAGTGGCTCTTTTCCCAGATACTGAGCCAACATTCCCACTACCACTTTACATATATTATTCATATACAGAAAGAAAGATTTCTCTAAATCAGGTATTCCTAGGGCAGGTGCATTCAAAAGGGCCTGTTTCATTAATGTACACAGCTATGATGTAATTTTTAAAAAGGCTCTGTTTCAAGGTTTGGAAAGCCTTTTCTCATTCCTTACCCCATATTAGTCTTTCTTCATGTTCTCCTTTAAAGCATCAAATAAGGGCTTAGCAAACTCTCCATACTGAGGAATTCATAGCTGACAGTACCCTGTCATTCCCAGGAACACTTTGAGTTGTTTTTTAGTAGAGTAGCTAGTGAGGGAACAAACAGCACTGACTCTCCTGTATGAGAGCCTCCTCTCACCAGGGGAAAGAACAAAGTTCAAGCAAATAACTTCAGGTTTGCACACTGACCTTCTTCCTTTGACATCTTAGATCATTCCTCCTAAAGGAAATTTAACACCTGTTTAGTGTCCTCAACAAAATATTCATGTGAGGAGCTACAAATTAGTAAATCATTCACATATTGGATAAGAGCACTTTGAGGGGCTAAGTTTAGTCCCCCAAGGAGCTTACTCAGAGTATTTCCAAAAATCCCAGGGCTATCTCAAAACCCTTGTGGAAGCATAGTCCACATGAACTAGGTGGAATGTCCAGTATCGAGATCTATCCACTCAAAGGAAAAAAGTGGTTGGGGTTTTAGATGTAAAAGGACAGCAAAGAAGGCATCCTTTAAGTTTATTAAGAATAGAGTATAAATGTTTTACTACAGCAAACAAGTAAGCGAGGTGATGATTATGTTAATCAGTTAGATGTAAGCATTGTACATTGTATATCAAATCGGTACATTATATCCCATAAATGCATTATTATACGCAGTTACAATTTAATAAAACAAATGTACAGTACAAAAAAATAAATCTAGGACTGAGTAATATTAGGTGTCAGCAGGAATCTGAAATATTAGAGTATAAGGGTTGGGGAGCACTGAACACAAAGGCACCACTATTTCATTTATTGCCCTTAGATCTTCGACCAATTTCCATTTCCCATTTCACTCTTGTACAGCCAGAATAGGGGTGTTATAAGGAGAAAAAAATTCCAGTAGCATGCCAACCTTTTAAAATTGTTGTATAACCAGAACTAGTTCCCTAGTACCCAGTAAGGTGCCCCATCCCAGGCCTAACTTGGATTTTTACAGGTTTCCATTTCTTGCTCTGGTAGGTGTCCACACTTCAGGATCTCTATGGACTAGCTCAGGTGGCATGTCATTTACACTTTGGTTCTCTGCCTTCGTTATCATAATAAAATCCTTTGGAAAGAACATTAAAACAGTCCCAATCTTACATAAGAAATCTCTTCCCAGCAAGGGTGCTGGTGATTCAGGGATTATCAAAAATTGATGAGTAATCAGGTGATTGGAGTTGTGGCCCACTGCCTCAAGCAGACAGCCAGCCAAACTCGCCTCAACACAGAGTGGGATTGGGGTGCCCAAGAGCTACGCACAGAGACCTATAGAAGGGCGGTGGGATCACGGCAGGGAAAGGAGCTGATGCAGCTCAGAGATGGGGTTGAGGTCTTGATATGTTTCCCAGGCTAGTCTCACTCCTGGCCTCAAGTGATCTTCTTGCCTTACTGGGAAGTGCTAGGATTATAGGCATGAACCAGTGGCCCAGCTTGGATTTTTTTTAATATATGGTGTTTCTGATATTGGCATAGCCAACTGGGAAAACATAGCTTTGAATCAATACTCATACTGCATAACAGCATGTCAATATAAAATCAACATTATACCAACAACTAAAAGAAAACATGGGTAAATTATGACATAAATATAGGAAAATGAATCAATCCAGAAACAAAAAACATAGATAAGTATGACTACATATGTACATGTATACAAGTATATAAGTTTATTTACATACCCTCACAATCTATATGTATATACATGTATGTACACAGTAGGTGTTTCCGTCACCTGAAGACTTCTTTTGGAATCTGGTAATGTGATACCTCCAGATTTGCTCTTTTAGCTTGGGACTGCTTTGGCTATTTAGGCTCTCTTATGGTTCCAAACAAAACAACCACACAAAAAGTGGGCAAAGGATAGCACATGAATACAAATTTTTCAAAAGAAGGTATACAAATGGCCAAAAACCTGAAAAACTGCTCAACATCAGTGATCATCTGAGAAATTCAACTTCAACCACAATGAGAATCCTCACTCCTATTAGTATGGCTTTTATTTAAAAGTCTAAAAACAATAGATGCTGGTGCAGCTACAGAAATAAAGGAACACTTGTTACACTGTTGCTGGTACCACAAAGTAGTACAGCCCTATAGAAAACAGTATGCAGATTTCTCAAAGAACTAAAAGTAGATGAATCATTGGATCCAGAGATCCCACTACTGGGTCTCTACCCAAGGAAAAGAAATCATTTTATAAAAAAGACATGCTGTGGCTCAAAGGAGTAGGGGGCCAGCCCCATATGCTAGAGGTGGTGGGTTCAAACCCAGCCCTGGTCAAAAACTGCAAAAAAAAAAAAAAAAAGACGTGCTCTTGAGTGTTTATTGCAACAAAATTCACAACCGCAAGGATGTGGAATCAACCCAAGTGCCCATGATTCATGAGTGGATTAATAAAATGTGGTATATGTGTACCATGGAGTACTACTCAGCCATAAAAAAGAATGAATCAATGCCCTTTGTAGCAATTTGGAAGGCAATGGAGACCATTGCCCGAAATGAAGTATCTCAAGAATGGAAAACCAACATCCATGTGCTCTCTAATAAATTGGAACTAACTGATGGGCACACAAATGCACAGAGGGAAGTGAAAGTCATTGGAAATCAAGCAGGAAGGAGGAGGGGAGGGGCAAAAACCTGTCTAACTGGTATAGTGAACACTATTGAGGGGATGAATCAGCTGATAGCCCTGATTCAAGCCTTGTAACAAAATCATTTGTATCCCCTTAATATTTTGTTATTTTTTATAAAATGAAAAGTAAATTTAAAAAATGAAAAGTGAAGAAAGATGACATCCTAGTCTCATATATAATGTCTAAAAGTAGCAACTGCAAAAGCATCATATTATACAAACTTCATCATGATTGGTCAATTTAAAGACTGTAAAGCTACAAAGATGGAAAGTCAACAGTATGACAGATGAGACATCAGCAGAAAGTCATGTAATAATCACCTTCTTTCATTTTCTTTCTTTTTTTTTTTTATTGAATGGTAACTATGTACATCAATGCACTTCTGGGGTACAGTGTGGGGTTTTCACATGCCTTTTTTCATTTTCTTTTTCTTTCTTTCTTTTTTCTTTTCTTTCTTTCTTTCTTTCTTTCTTTTTTTTTTTTTTTGTGGGGACTGAATCTTATTCTGTCATGCTGGGTAGAGTTTTGTGGCATCACAGCTCACAGCAACCTCAAACTCCTGAGCTCAAGCAATCCTCTTGCCTCAGCCTGCCAAGTAGCTGGGACTACAGGTGCCTATGATGAGCCCAGGTAGGTGTTGTTGTTGTTGGTGGTGGTGGTGGTGGTGGTGATGGTTTTCAGTAGAGACAAGATCTTACTCTTGCTCAGGCTGATCTCTAACTCCTGAGCTCAAGGGATTCTCCCTCCTCAGACTCCCAGAGTGCTAGGATTACAAGGATGAGCCACCAGGGATGAGGTGGGATTACAGGGCTCTGCCACCATTTTTCTTTTTCTTGGTGGTACCTGTAGATATCCATTCTGAAAGAGAAAAGAGATTAATGATATGATGAGTCTTGTTTTTATTTTGTGGGCTTGATATTTCTGACTGTCTTCCAGATATTTCTACCTGGAAGTTCCACTGTCAACTTAAATTCAAGGAATCTTCAAGGAATTTTCCATGATTCCCCAGTGAATAAAAGAAGTGTGTAGGCTCCTTCTTCTGGCTTCACGATGTCTACAGTAAGTCCAGTGACTGCATCGGCCTCATAATCTACAACTTACTGATGCTTTGTGGAGGATATTTTCATGTCATCCTCTTTTACGTATGCAGAATGGAGGGCATGTTATTTTGGTTATCAGAACTTTTCCACTTTTAAAACCCAGCTTATTGCAAATGTTACAAAGAACTGTCCTCAACCTCAAAGCCACAAACAACCTTCCTTCCTACTGTATCTCTTGCTGTGGTATCCTGTTTAGATCATCGGCACAGTGCAGGCCTATGTTTGTTAAAGCACAGACCTCTTCCTGGGTAAAGGCTCACACCTTGTGCTCCCTCATGGCTTTAGATGTAGCTCAATAAATATCTGCTGCACAAAGACCTTTTCTTTACTTCTAGAGTGGCACAGGGAAGGACTGTTTGAGGTGTGCATCAGAAAGATCCCTGCATCCAGAGTCAAAAGACACAGGTTCATCTGCTGCAAAGACCCTTTCCCTGCTTTGTCCACATCAGGTGATCTATAAGAGGAACAGAGGACTCAGTTTAAAATATAATTTATTTATATTTTCTTTCAAGAATAAATTTGAGGTGGCATAGGAAAACAAATACTGTTAGAGTGTTCTGTAATCAAGGAACTACCCATCCTATGTATTATTTTCAGATATATAATTCTATGTTACTTCTAACAGTGGTCCCCAAAGTTTAAGACCTCTCCTCCTCCAATTTAAGTTACTTTCATTCAACCAACTTGCATAGTTTATTAGTGGAAGAGTCAAGGCCACAATTCACTGGCCTTCCTTCAAAAAGGTAAGCATTGATGAGCTTAGAAGATTAAGCTGTAATGTAAGTCAACGGTTGTCATTCTTGTGGGGATGTTGGCAACATCATATGCATGGAACCTGGGCAAGGGGAGTCATATGGTTTTCTGAACACTGAGAAATTCTGCTAAATTCTGTGTAGGTGAGTCATGACAGCCACGTCTTTGATTTAAGTTATTTGTCACTAGCATACCTGTATCAGGTATTTCAGGGGATGTCCACCACAGCGTATACTCTGCTTCCAGTTCCCAGATCTCATGTAGCCTCCTTTAATTGCAAATCTTTGAGGGCTGAACCACCTTCCATTATCTCTTTGTATACACTTCACGGAGCTTCCTGGAAGACCAAGATAAGCTGAGTTCCCTGACTATGAAAACACCTAAACTTGGCCTCCTACCACACTGGATCTGGAGCCGCCCATGTTGGGTTCAGGATCAGTAACAGAAAGGTCTGAACTCTCCTCTCAGACCTTAGGGTGCCCACACTCAGCCTCAAAGACCAGGGAAGAAGCAGACTCCTTGCCATGTGTGTATATTTCTCTGGCCTTCATGCAGGAAGTCCTGTGTGACTCCACCAGAGAAGACTCTGGCGGCTTGCCCCTGGTTCCCTCTGAACTTTGTCCCCTTCTTCTACCTTTCCCCTTTGCTAACTTTGCTTTGCATTCTTTCACTCTCATAAACCTGATCTATGACTGTGACCAAGATCTAAGAGAACTCCTAGCAAATCAGACATAGGTGGGGGGGGGGCTGGTCTTGAAGGGTCCCAGTGCAGATATCTACTTCTCAACAATATGCTATTTGCATGAATATTTCCCGGTTGAAAATCCTAGAAGACCAAGAAATTCACCTTGTTTCAATTTCTCCTTATGTAGAGTCCCCTTCAGCTCACCACAGGTCACAGGAAGTTCAGAAAGTTGAAAATTCATATTTTTATCTCTGGGAAATCTTCCAACTGCAAGGAATCATTTTTTTTTTCATTGCATCTTCCTCTACAACTGTGCACCATCTCTCCACCCAACGTCAGATCTTTTTTTTTTTATAATTTAAAATGATTGAAGAGATTTTACCCCCATGAATTAGTTACACTTCAAGATCTTTCTATTGTGGACAATGTCACCCTCTAATCCACCCTCTAAAATTCCACCCAGCAGCGTGGACAGCAGGATCTGAACTCTCAAGCTTGTTGGCCTCCTATACTGATGCACAGTGACTTTCCTGCTGATGATTTGATGGGACATTTCTAGTCATATTATTGCTTTGATGTTATGAGCATGGATTATCACACACACACACAAATTTTAGTCTTTCCTTTCTCTTTGAGGTTTGAAAGGGTGAAAAGGAAACAGGCAGAGAGCAGGATCCAAACAGGGAAAGTGATAGGGCAGGGTCTGTCTCTCTTTACCATCTGCTTTGCTTCACTTTTCCATTACCTGTGCTTTCTTTGTGGCAGAAAGGGAAGGACAGGGTGGGAGATTCTAGATGAAACTCCACATTGAGGCAGGGGGAAAGAAGAGAGGTTGATGAATGGATACAAATACACAGATAGAAGAAATAAGACCTGGTATTCAATAGATCAGTAGAGATCAATTGTACATCCTCAAATAGCTAGAGGAGAATAATTTGAATATCCTACTGTAAAGAAAAGTAAAGTATTTAAAGTGATGGATATCCCAATTACCCTGATGTGACTATATGAAAGTATCAAATTATCATATATACTATAAAATAGGTACTTCTATTATATATTACTCAATGAATCAATAAAAAAGAAAGTTCACATTGCTCAGGGAGCCCGGCACATCACACGAGAGGGGTACTAGGGATCTGTTTCTGCTGAAGCAGGGGTGGAAGGTCATAAAATACAATTCTGACCAATCATAGGTTGGTCAGAGGAACTCTAAAAACAGAGCAATCATAGGCAATTCCATTTTGAGCATAAGGCACTCCATCTTGGCTGTTCAGTGACCTCTCCTGAAACCATCCCCTTCTGGGACCCAGCCAGCAGGAACAAGGAACTAGTGAACACAATGACTCCAGGGAGGCTAACCTCTAAATGAACAGAATAGTCTCAGCAGAAAGCAGTTGGAACCATACATAGCAACAGTCACTAGTACACCAAAGTAACACTCTCCCCCTCTTATCCAGCCTAAAACCTTTCAAAGATAAGCAGTCTTGCTCTTCAGGGTGATGCCTATTGAGTCTCAACCCGTCTTCACCCAGGCACCAAATTAGCTATTATTCTGTATCCAGCTTAGGGACTTGATCAAGTCAACTGCTATCTTACACCAAGGTTGAGGCTCCAACACTGTCGCTTCATAAGCCAATTAAGAAACTGATTGATTGCTCAGAGCACAGAGTATAAAATAAAAATCTTCATGGGTAACTATTAAAAGTGTATGGATCACTTCTTTTTACCTCTTCTTTTGCGTCTTTTTCTTTGCAAAGATCCAGGGTTGGCTGTGTTTCTCTCTGAAAAATTTGTAAAACAATATAAACATCTTTTGTTTATAACACTGCATCCCAAATCAAAGTGTTTTACAAAAACACTGCTCAATTGTTAATTTTGGGGGACCTTGTCTAGTACTCAAAAAAAAAAAAAAAAGTCAAATGGCTAGATTAGAAATCAGGAAAATTTTATGTAGAGGGCCAGACAGTAAATATTTAAGGTTTTGGAGTCCATAATTTCTGTTGTGGCTACTCAGCTCTGTAGTTATATCATGCAAGCATCTATGGAGAACATGTAAATGAAAAGATGTGATTGTGTTCTAATAAAACTTTATTTACAACTAGTCAGTGGATTTGGATTTGCCTTGTAAACCATAATATGCTGACTCCTGGCCTAGACTCTGTTACAAAGATGATGCTTAGATGAGATGTATTCTATATTTTCCATTAACATCTCTAAACCATTCCAAATGAATTTGAAACAATGTTTTATGTTCTTTCCAAGCAATAGAATAAAAACAAGAATAAAGTTGGACATGTATTGAGTGCTTATTGTGTGCCAGGAACTATAAATTTGCCTCTATTAACTTCCTTCATCCTTAGAAAGAAATCTATCAAATAGATACTAATCCTCATAAAGATAAGGAAAGGGATGCTCAGAGAAAAAAATACAAGCTGGTTACATAAACAAGGCCCTTAAAAATACAAATTAAATAAAAGAATCAAAGACTTCCCTTGGGAAAAAGTCAGAAATAAAATGCAGCAATATAAGGTCTCAAGACATACATCATAATAGACTCCACAAACCAAACTTGAAACAAGATTTTTGTACTGAAAACAATGGGACAAATGAACAAGGACTTGGACTAACTCAAAGAAGGCTATGCAAGGG